TTTTTTTTTTCCATTGAAACATTGATATGAAAAAAGACAAAATAAAATATAATCATCGTTATCCCACTCGTTCTTTGTCCATGCCATGTCCATGTTCTTCCTGTCAGAGCAGTCTGCAAAGCCACGGCGAACTGGAAGTACTGTCCCGGAACTATAGTACTGTCCCAATCCAGGCGGTCCACTGTGTCCCATATGTGTGTCCCCACAACTGCTCCGTGTGTCCGGCAGCCTCAGAAGGACCAGAGGAACAGGGGCTGGATCTCAGGTCCCCCTCTTTGCCCGCTTATGCCGGCAAACTAGCAGCGAGCAGCCGCTAGCACTCGCCATGAGCCTAGATGCCAACACAGCCCATTTTTTTTTCCTCAGTGACTCTTCCCCCTTGACATTGCCACTGCCAGGAGCTCCCCCATATCCTTTTATTTTCCTCTTTTTTTTTTTTTTTTTTTTTTTTTTTTTTTTAAAGTCACACTTTCCTTAAAACGGAAAGTTTTAATATTTCATTCAAAGAAAAAAAGAAAAAAAAAACGTGCTTTTCAACCTCTTCTTTGGGTCCATTCCCAAAGCTAGCACCATGACATTTTTTTTAAGCTACACGTTCATTGTTCATAAAAAAATAGTGCCATTTTTTTCTTTACTTTGACGTAATCCGTGGCAATGTGCAATTTTGCAGACTCTTTTCTGCTTTTTGTTTGTGATCAAAAGGTGCTGGAACAGGAATCTAATTTTACAAAATAATTCCTTACAGTGTGGAAGTCCCTTTATAGGTAGAGGTGCAAACTAATAAGAAAAAGAACTAACAGAGATTTTTCTTTTTTGCCTCGGGAAAAAAAAAATGATGTGGAATGGATTCTTTCATGCAAGCTGCTCTTCACTTTCAGTTGTCTTCCACAAGGACAAAAAAACATTCCGCTAGGTGTCCTCTTGACACTTGCAAACCACAAGATCTCTTTCATCTTCTTTTCTCCCTTCCCTTTTCTCTTTTGCTTTAAGGATCCACCTGAATTGCACTCAGCCGAATTGTTAACTTTTTGTTCAACATTTGTGTTTGTGCCTTTTGTATCAGTGACTGAAAGAGAGAGGGAGCGAAAGAGTTCAGACAGGAAGAATGTGAAGGCATGTTTGTGTGCCGGAGGAGGGTGGGTGGGGTTGAGGGATGGAGGTTGGGGTTGGGGGGGGAACAGGGGGGGTGGGTTGGGGCATTAGAAAAAAGGGCCAGGGGTTCAAGACGTGGTGGACGAGAGCAGGGGGGGGCAGGGATTGGTGGGCTCGGACAGGGCAGGGGAGGTCAAAGAGGACTGCCACAGAAATGACGTCAGAGACAAAGCTATAATCCCCTAGGCTTTTTTTTTTCACCCTCAAAACTCTTGTCTGTGCAAAGGGCTGGCAGCGGGCTCATTTGTGGTTGACAAAGTTGTCCGTGGTGAGCAACACGGGAGGCAGTTTGCTGGGAAGGCTGATCAGGGGCCTGTGGAAGATTGACTGCTCCTGGGCTTTAATCTTCTCCGCCTGCCTCCGAAACTTTTTGGCCCTCAAGATGGCAGGGACACCCCTCCGGAGCCGCTGGGCCGCCTTCCTCTGCCACACCTCGTATTTGGAATACTTCACGGTCACATGCTGCTTCCTTGGGACTTCCTATTTTGGCGTGCAGGCGAAAATAGAGGAAAAAGGGAAAAGAGGGCGTCAGTTCATTAGGCTGTGATAAGATACTGTGTGCAAGTGCTTGTTACAATGGAGGAAAGCCCTGTTTGTTTTGCGAAAACATTCAGTCATTGTTGGGCCACTAAAATGGAAATCAAATGTCATTCTTATAGCGCCGAGCGTCATAACAGACTCGCCCTGCCTCCGACTGGCCCTTGTTTTGGTTTCCTCGACTGAAAGAAGCCGTCAACAAGTGCTTAGTTCAGCCTCTTTAACATACTGTCAAAGGGAAGGGCGGTCACCCTCCTCATATACATATGAGGAGCACTTCGTCACTCAGCCAGCGACTCCCTGAACTGCATAACCCCCACAGACCGAACGAAGCGACGCGTAAACACACTGTCATTTCAGAACTTCTATTTACACACAGCAGACTCCTTTAAACAGAGCCGAAGACCAAAGATTGAGACAAACTGGGAGTGGTGGCAGCAAAGCTAGAATTTATGCGTGAGTAGCCAGTCCTCCATCTGAATGGCTTGTTTTGGTCCTGCCACTTGAAGAGTGTTTATCCCCCTTCATTCACTCTGGGCCTGCTCAATAGCCTAAGAACAGCTGGCCCTCGGAGCAGGCTGTACCCATCAACTCTCCCTACCCAGACAAACCAGGGACATGTCCAAACTAATTCCCACCCAGCAGCTTGTTTTTTTGCGTTTTCAGACACAGCGTCCATTACTCTCTCCCTCGGCGTTTGCAATATTTATTGAATTTTCTTGTTTACATCTCTCGCAATCTCATGCCACCGACATTGATTTTCTGGCAAGTGGGACACTATAAACATCTTTCCAGGCTTGTCTAAAGAAAGAGGGTTTTAGGAGGTGGAAAGCTGCCATAGCTCAGTGCTCGCGAATGCTTTGACAATTCCCTGCATGTTTGCGCCATATTTCAGAGAAGCTGCGCTCCGCCGGGTCAGGTGTTTCTGACCGTGACTTTTTTCTTTTTCCTCTTTTTTGCAGGGAGCGCTTGCTGTTCCGTGACTAACAATCGCACGCTCGGGACACGTTGTTTTGTTACGGACCAGCAGCCCTCCGCCGAGTCGCAGGCTCCCAGACACACCGTGTGCCTTCGACTCCAACGCAACGTGTCTCGGCGTTTTTTTTCCACGACCGTCAGCGTTTTGCATGGAAGGTTACTGCTTACCGGTGACCATTTAACAAGATAAACCTGCTTCTGCGTGGGTTTCGGCCCGCGCTCGAGTGTCAGCGACATAGGGGTGAGGCCCACAGGTGAATGGAGGCGCAGGAGATCGGAGGACAAGATACGGACGAGGATTAGTTTCCCATACTGGCGTGTTGTTGCTCAGACGTACCTGTTTTATTGCGGGCATCACGGGTATGACCTGTAGAGAGGTGGCCGACACGTCCCTTTCAGACTTGGCGGGTTTGGCACAGTACTGCTCCAGCAGGTTGAGGTCACAGCTACGGAAACAACACTCCTCTACAATCCCACGGTTCTGGGTGCGCCGGTTGCTATTCCTGCTGGTTGGCCTACCTGAGGAGGAACGCAGCGGAGAGAGAGGAACGTGAGGTCAAAAAAAACACGACACTGGCATCAGTAATGAATGTGGGTTGTTTTTTGCGGGATTACTTCCCCACAATCATAGCAGCCCCTCGGAGCAAAGAGGATAAAAGGAAATCTATGACCAACTGCAACAAATCTTTTTGTTTGTAGAAGATAATCTGATTAGGGCTATCTGGAAGTCCTTAAATGAGTGAATACACAAGTAAACACCACCCGTGCTGTGGAGAGCGACGGAGGAGCTAAGCTCTGGGGACAGACCTCAGGGTGAGCAAATACATAAAATGGAAACTCTTGGGTGACCTTGTCTTTTGTCAAGTCAGCAGAGATAAAGAGGCTGAGGAGGGAAAGAGGAGAGGAGGGGTAGAGAGAGAGAGAGAGAGAGAGAGAGAGGTAGAGAAAACAGGAGAAAGGGGATCAGCGCAGAGGAGGGAGGGTCAGAAACAGAGGGAAAGAATGCAAAACAAAAGAAGAAGAAGAGCGAAGACGTGAGGGAGAAAGGTGAGGAAGACTAAGGTGAGGGGGTGGACGGCTAGCATGTTGCGCGCTGAGGAACACTATCCGCGATCAATACAAGGCCCCCCGTTTGAAGTCCCGCGACCCACACAATGTTGGGAGAAATCTCATGAGAGGGATGGCGAGATTTGATTGCAGGAAGAGGAACATGAGAGAGAAAAGAGAGAGGGGTGATCCAGGGGGGAGGAGGAGGAGGAGGAGGAGAAGAGGAGGAGGAGGGAGCACATCTATGTTGGGCCAATTTGGATAATGATCTTTCTGATTGGAGAGAAGCGTCTGTGGCAAAAGAAGAAGCGGCGCACAAAGAAACTGCTTGTCTGTCAAAAGCACTGAGCTACAAGACAAATAAAAATAAGCTTTGTTTTTTTTTTTTTTTTGAACCAAAGTGTTCAAAAAAATCAGTCCTGCATGCCGCAAACAGAAGCTTATCCAGTTGAGGATTAACAGCTACCACAATGCTTTCACATAATGCTTTACAGCTATTCCATCATCACCACAATGGGAGCAATGATCAGGAGTGATGTTAATGATCTTTCCCCCTCTCTTTTTAAGCCTGACATCAACACCATCCACCACCACCACCACCACCCCCTCCAACCCCTCCAACCCCACCAACACTGGGCTCATCAGTGTGGTCTCCTGGCCTGGGAACACTGGTGCTGAGGTGACTGGTATGCCTCTTGGGGTGCTATTACTTTACTGGTAAACAAGCGGCCCATTGTGTCGCTGAGTCGTGTGTGCCTTCGCAGCTCGGCAGCCTTTCATATGCAATGAGAAGGTATGGGCTGTAAGCAGACTCAGCAGAGCAGCCTGGACCAAGTCTTGGGACACACAGCTGGCTATAATCTCACTCTCTCTTTCTCTCTCTCTCTCTCTCTCTTTCTCCTTCTGTCTCTCAGCCCGAGTGTGCGTGTGCGAGTGCGTGAGAAAGAAAAATAGCAAACACGCATACCACACAGCCACAGACAGTCTCAGCTATCCAAACAGATGTGTGCGCACGAACAACAGAGAGATTTCAACGGAGGAGGAATAAAAAAAAAAAGAAAAAAGAAAAGAAAAAGAGGGCGAATCGACATTCATGCAGCTCATTGTGAAAACTTGGAATGCTCTGAAAAACCTACTGAAATAGAAGCCTCTGTCTTCACAGACAAACTGCAGCGCATCCACCAGTTCTCCCCCACACAGCGTCTCTGCCGAGGCCATTTCCACAACGTAGAGCGTCAGGGCCAGTGCAAACAGCAGCGCACGACTGGTCGAAGACATCTTCTTGAACTGCAGGCACAAAAAAAAAAAGAAAAGAATTAAAAACACACACACAGACACACACACACATTGGAGAATGAAACACTGCGTTACCAAATGCAACCAGAAAGCGCACAGGACTGAAAAAAGAAAAGAAAAAAAAAACTTAAATGACAGCCAGATGTTTTCACAGTGATCCACTACATATGCAAAGCTTGTACAAAACCCACGGCTTCCAGTGTCAAATGCAGTTTCTGTGCACTGACCTACTAACTCAGAAAAAAAGTCAGAGAAATGGTGTAAAGAAAAAAAAAAGAAAGAAAGAAAAAAAAAAGTGCAGATTTCCAATCCTCGGCTCGACTATTTTCAGCTGCTTGTCATGTGTGTCGCACCTGAGAGAAATGCTTATTCTTAAGGAAAAAAACACAGTATCTCCAGCTTTCTCACTCTTACACAACTCACCAGAAGTTGCAAGGCCGGCTGCTCGATAGTTAACTATCCGAAAAGCCAGACTCAGCATATATTTTCCCCTTGCTCACCCTGGAGTGAGCTCACTGACCCTCAGACCTACCGCCCCCTATCTGTCGGCAAAAAGACCAGCTGTTTGCTCCGTGTCCAGCGAACGGCGCACCATCCAGTCGGGAGAAGATCTTTTTTTCAAAAAACCAAAAAACCAAAATACTCTCTCAACTCTTTTTTTCTTTTCCTTCTATCCTACTACAAATCCCTCAAAGCTTCATGCGCAAAGCTCCGAGCGCCCTCCGTGCCATTTACGCATCTTGAACTTTCTCGGCTGCATGCAAATTTCAGAGATGTCCGGTTTGCTCATATTGCACAAAAACAGATGCGAGCGGTGCATGTAGTGAACCCGATGGCGGTTTTCGTACTTTAAAAGCCAAGAAAATAGCGCTACAGCCATTGTCAGGCGCTCTGTCATTACGCGCACGGCACAAGCGAGTGTGAAACTATCTGCTCCTTCTGGTTACCTTCATTCTGCTGCTCTCCGTTCTCCGGCAGGTGTGGCAAAGTGAGTGGTGTCCGTGTCTTTGCTGGGTTTCCATGACAGATGGCAGTAGTAAGAAAAAAAAATAACACAAAAAACTGTTGGGGAGTTATTTGGTTGGAGAGATTTGCAGGTGAGTTAGTTTCCCAGTTGGTGAGGCTATAGAGATGGTGTGTGAGAGGCTGTCCCAAAGACCAGGCGACAGGCAAAACTTCTCAGGGTGAAGTATTATATACCAAAACACGCCCCTTAGACCCACACCGCCCCCTCGCTCCTCCTCTTCACGGCTGATAAAAAAAATGGCCCAGAGCCGTTTTATGGAAAAGTGCTTAAAGGAGTGCTTAAAAAAGGAGAGAGAGAGAGAGTGAGAGAGAGAGAGAGAGAGAGAGAGAGAGAGAAGGTGAGAGTCACAAAATATGGAACACTTCCATAGGCATTTTCCACGTTTACGCACTGTAACCTACAATCACAATGTTTACACACAGGACGCAGACTGAACAAGAATAGACGTAATTCCTTCGACTCCAAGAAAAATGTCAATGTCTCCGCCCTGCTGCAATTTAGATTAACATCCAGTGGAATCAGTATGGCCAAGGTCTGCGGCTTTCCTCTGACTCAGGTGTAGATGCAGTCAGCGGGGTCAAAGGTGCCTGACAGTGGAGCGGATCCTAACGGAGCGCAAACATGGAGGGGGGGCTGACGCACAGAGGGAGGATGCAGCAGTGAGCCTCAGATGCAGGAATTACTACAGCGTCACGTGATGGAGGGTCAGGATGGATACAAGTGTGAAAGAAAAACAAACTTAAAAAAAAAAAAAAGCAGAGTCAATGCATTACTTGCACATTCGAGATTAAAAAAGAAGGAGCTCCCTGTGTGGATTCCAGCAGTCAACCCTCATCCAGATGTTGCATAGGAAGGTGCACAATAGACAAAAGGGGGTTGCATGCACTGAGTTGGAAAATGTGATTTTTTTATATATAAGCAAGCACTTTTTTTTTTTTTTTTTTGTTAAACTGTATGAGGGTTCCCTTATGTAAGTGTGTCTTCTGCAGAAGGTAAAATTCCTGGACGTGTCTTCAGACTCAGACTGACACCTACTGGTTCGGTTGGTGAACCACCGTTTGTTTGTCTCGCAGCTTTCAGCAGCTGCTGAGCTGCTGGTGCTGCTGATCCAGGGTCTGATTCCCCAAGCTCATACCTGACCAGTGGGAAATATGTCTGGGCAAAGTCCCCAAAGTTTGTCCTTTCAAATGCAATTGAGTGTTGTTGCACTTTCGTCAACAATGCCAGTGGAAAGTTACTCGCTTCAAGTGTCCTGAGTGGCACACAGTGTAAATTTGCAGAAAGGGAGGTTGCACCATTCATGTAGGTGTCTGTGCTGTTCTTTTATGTGTCGATCGTGCAACACACACTCGTGGACAAAGCTCATAATCTGATTTTACTGTTTGCATTGCACCAAATCTTGTTTTCCGTCTATTTCTCCATGCATGTCATTCTTTGTCATTCGACTTTCATAAGCTTGTTTTTAACACCGATTAATGCTGCGGAACAGAACACTGCGCTCTCTCGCAGGACTTAACCATTAAGAAGATTTATTCCTTCAATAAGCTCAATGAATATGCTGTGATTTTAAGATCAGGCAGGTAGCCCACAACCTGCAGGATTGCGCCCTCTTGTGGCAGACACATGTAAAGCAGTAACCGTCCAGACATCTGATTCATGAGGGGCAACAGCTCATTACAATATTGTCATGTGTATTTTTACTTGTGCGACTAAACATTGCAGCAGCGGCGGTGTGTTATTCTGCAACCTTTATTACGGGACAGATTGTAAATAGCAGATGATTACATGGAAATTATGCTTTATTATGTTTTTTTTTTAATATGCATTTACACTGCGAGACAAAAACAGCATAAAATACACTGCAAGACCAAAAACAGCATAAAACCAAATCATCTGGAAAATAAAGCCTTTAACGTAGCCTTTATAGATTTAATTTCCTCTTAAATAAAATAAATGATTAAAATATACACCTTCGTCTCCACTTCTTTGATTTTAAAATACCATTTAGTTTGTATACATTCAGAATCACTTCTTTGATTTTGGTTCCAATTTTGACATATTTCTAACGTGTTCTTATTTTTTTTTGGCCTCAAATAAAACCCCATCATCATTTCACAAATGCACTCACACCCAGAGAGGCGCTTAAACATCTTTGGAACTTTTTTTTTTTTTTCCTGCCGGCGCTGCATATTGAGTTTTTTTTTTCTCTTTTTCTTTTAGATGGTTGCAGCCTTGTCGGCCAACCGGCAGCCAGCCACAACAAGCAACAACCGGAAGTACAGCACAGAAAGATGAACACACTGGTGTCGCCACATGTCGGACATCGCAGAGCTCAGCGGAGAGGAAGCAAACAACGGCGGGGGCGGGTCGCGGCCGACGAGGGCGTCATCATGACAAAACGCTGAGGGCGTCTGTCAGCACCTTCAGCTCGTCCTTCAGGCCGTCCAGGCCTCCTTGGATCTTCAGTGGGTTGTCCAGGACTTCGATGCTGCTGGTGTAGGGATCAAACCTGACCGAGAAGGGACGTTTGATGCCGGCCACATAGGCTCTGGGTCAAATTTAAAGATGTAAAGAGGTGAGAAAACACAAAACTTAAAGAACTCAAGGATGAGCTCCTTATGAATACATGCATTACAGCTGCCCTGTCTGGGGATCGTCAACCCAAATATTTCACTTGGCAAGAGGAAACTTCCCCTTATCGTCGCAAAGAAGTTGTAGTTTGACCTGTTGTATATGCATGTATTCTCTTTATGGAGATTCCCTAACATAAAAGACACCCTCGTCCATGATGGCATTCCTAATATTTCATATTTACGCTGCTTTTCCAAACATCCTCATGCTGCTGTTTTCTCATCCAGTGTGGCAGGGATGTGCTGTATTCTGCTAGAGACTGAATGCTGTCAAAACACTCACCAAAGCTACTTGTTTTGCAGGGCAACATTTGATGTGTTTGCCAAATAAAACTCCAGAGTTTTGCCTTGGTAAGAAAGACTACATTAGTAACAGCTGTCTTCTGGCTGCTATGGTTGACCTACAAAAGTTTGTGGCCTCAGGGGTTGGCTGGCTCTTCGTTGACCTTGTCCTTACGTAACCCCTCTCTTTTTTTTTTGCTTTTTGTTTTTCTTCTTCTTTTCTCTGGTCTCTGCATATTCTTATGTTTGTGTGTGTGTGACTCCCCAAGAAAAGGAGAGAAGGTACCTGAATTTCTCCTTGGCATCAGAGAAACTCTCAGAGATAAAGTAGACCGGCTGGTAGTTCTGGTCCTGATAGGGCTGCACCGCCGCGGCCTCTGGCTCAAACTCCCTCGTCTCTGGTTCGTCGGACAGGGAGTGCTGGAAAGGAAGAAAATGGAGGATTAAATGACAGTTGGCTGCGATTGTCACAAAAAAAAAACAAAAAAAAAAAAATATGATGGAACGTACCACAAGTTCTCCATAAGAGGACAGCAGTCCAGCCCCATAAGCCCTCACCTCTCCGTTTTGCTTACATAAGCCGTACTCGACTGTGAACCAGTACAGCTGTTGGGAAAAACAGAAAAAGGGGTGACTGGGACCAAAGATGGTGGACAATCAGTTGATTACTTATATGCCACATTTAAGGTGAGGGACTGCAAAAAAAAAGACTTTTTTGAAATCTGGCAAAAGCTGATTTCCTTAATTTGGGATTTGGAATGTGTACAAATAGTTTTCCAATAAAAAAAATACTAGAAATCTAAGTTGACATATTAGGAGGAAGGTGTTCAAAGCAAACACTGATTTCCGTGCCGTCCCTACATATGTGTTGCTGGTGTCGGAGTCTCACCGTGGACAGTTTCTCAATATCTTCATCTGAAGCCCCGAGTGACGCCAGACCAAGGTTCTGCAGGAAATAATCCATAAGTTGTTACCGAGACATAATAGAACAGCTCCGGATGCAATAACCTGCTTTCAAGACACCCTAACCTGAGAAAACTGGGCGAAAGTGCGGTCAGCCAGCATGGGGACGTGGCCCAGCAGCTCGTGGACGCAGTCGCTGTAACGGGAGGAGACGGAAGAGTTCAGCCGCGTCCATGTTTGATCAGAATTGAGAAATAATTTCACAGATAGATTCAAATCTTTGTCCAAGTAACTGATTCCCAAAAATAAGTCATTTAAAAAGAGAAGAAAAGTGAAACTGCTTGTGCACAGAGCAGCTTTTTGATTAGTTTTTTCACCGTGTGGTTTGTGTTTTTGCTTTTTAAAAATGTGTTTATTCCGCGTATGTCTCCCTTCATCCTGTCAGAGACGATGTCTACTGGTTATATGTTATATATACTGAGCTAATACTGAGCTAATGTCTATTCTATGCTGTTAGTTGGAAGGTAACCCATCCTTGTCCATTTTTTGAGTATCAACTGAATTCAGAGTCAATGCCAGTTTGTTAAATCGACACTCCAGACCCAGTTCAGTTCGTGGGCTCGTAGGTTCTGATAAAGCTATAAGCTACAGAGTGAGATAAAGGCTGCTCTACACATGGATTTAAATGCCACTGGCTGAAATATGCAGCAGAATTTGATACAAGAGGCGTCACAGGAGCACTCACGGCTCTGGGGAGTGCATAGGGGAGGAGGCGTGTCGGATGTACTGGGTGCACTGGAACACCCGGAAAGCCAGACTGGCCAGGAAGTCTCTGGCCGAGAGCAGCCCTGCCACCGGGCGCAGCTGGAAGCCGGTGCGCTCTGTTCGAGTCCAGGAGGTTGGTGATGAAGACACAGAGAGAGAGAGATAGAGAGAGAGGGGGAAAGAGCATTTAATAAACATCAGCGTTCAGGGATGATTCCTTTCATCGCTTCTCATCCCGGCTTTACCTTTAAGGAAGCGCGACACTTCTTCCAACTGGGGAATGTTGTCTGGACTGTACCCACAATGCCTCTCCAGCAGGCGGAAGGCCTCGAGGTATTCGCTGCAGGCGTGGGTGGTGTACAGGTCCCTCAGGGTGGAGTAGACTTCTCGCCTAGACAGAAGAAAATTAAAAATTTTTTTTTTTTCAAGCATTTTTTCAATATAAAAAAAGGATGAGACGTCGGTTTTGCATCCTTCTTGCACTGCAGCTGCACTAGTTTTGTTCTGTTTAATCAGATTCCTCTCATTTAATTTTCAACCCTTATTTATGCGTCTTTCTTGTGCTTCTGCTTATTATCCGTCTTATGTAAGCGTTTGATTCACCGTCCCGCGCCGTCCGTCCTTCTTCCTGCTTCTACTACTGAATCGTAAATCTCTGGTTTTCTTTTCCGCCAAACTGTCCGAGTAAAATTATCGATACAGGGAAAGTCCGCTGCTTTGAGAGCAGTTCTTGTAAGATGATTTGCTCCCAGGCCGCTGATATATTATGAGCTCGAGGCTGCTCTGATAGTGACCTCCATCTGTAACTCATTTACAAAAAACATCCATGAAAACGACATGCAGCCGTTTCAGAAACATGATGGATGTGACTCGAAAGGTCGCAACAGCAGCGTTCGATACCTATACAGCTGTAAAGCTTATTTCAAAAGTTTGTAAGTTTGTAAGTTTGTCAGTTTGGCTTTAACGCTGTAATTCTTCATCCTTCACATGCACATCATTGTGTATGTTCTAAACCGAGCAGCTCTTACCATGTGCCAATCTCCTCCTCTGTGTATTCCACTCTGGGAATCAACTGCCCCCTGAGAAAGAAAAACATGCACACATTTCAATAATCCAATTATTGGTTTATGTCTTTTTTTTTTTTTTATGGTTGTCTGTTCAGTATTTAGGCGAAAGACTGTATCTCACTGTCTGTATCTGAAGGCAATGTCTCCGATCATTTTCCTCCTCTGTCTGTAGACGGGGTCTGTGAAGCCCTGCTCAAATCAAATACATCAAACTCTGATCACATTTTCTGCGTCATGACAAATTGGTCCAACAAAATCAGCAGCCTGGTAAAGAGAATTATCTGTCATCCGACGCGCTACTGGCAGAGACATGACTTACAGGATGATCTTGGTCTAAGTCTGGATCAAATTTTGTGACCAGATGGTGACATCTGTCCAAATCTGCGATTCTCTTTGGGAACCAGTGAACTGGGACAGAAAACAGAAAAACAAAAAACCAGTTCAGTTGTCTGCAAAGTACACAAAATGGTTTAAACGTATTTGATAAAAGAAGCGAGAGGGTGTCACATTTGACTTCTTTGGTGGTTTTAACGTCCTCCGCGTTCCTCTTGATGGAGCTGATCAGCGTGTTGACGTCTGAGAGGTGAACCTCACAGCGCACAAAGTACTCCAGGCCTCCCAGGCTGTCCTTGAGCTTCCGGCACGGTCGCGTCTCCAGGTGGTGAATCTTGGCTTCGAATGTCTGGGACACAGTCAACATGCTGAAATGTAACTCGACGGCAGTCGGACAAGATTATATCCATAGTATGACAATTATGCAGCAAAGTATTTGATATCTTAGGGGCATATTCTGGATGCACAAGTCCCTGTGTTACATGTGGAACAGTTTATGTGGCTTTAAAATAAACATGCATGGAGGGAACCTGTTGCTTTCCCAAATGAACAAGGGAAATATGAAGAGTTGTGTAAAGTACAACAGAAAATTGTCTTTACTAAATGAGGTGCACTTGTCTACAGTAAAGCCAATAATAAAAGGAACAATATATAGGACATGTATTTCCAAACATGGTTACTGATGTCCTTGTCGGTACCATTTCAGGGCAATACATAAATATTTTGAGGTTGCCAGGTTGTGGAAAAACCCTCATGGAAAAGGGCTGCAGAATGTATTTTATCTCACCCAAAATTTGCTGCAGACTTTTTTTGCCCATCAGAAAATCCCCCAGCATGGATTAACAACATTAATCTCATTTATGCGTAATAGACACCCACCAGCAGGATTCCTCACATAAATAGCAACCTGTATGATCTAAACAATGTCTTATAACCAATTTGCAAAGCATTAGTAAAAGAATTATTAACACAGATAGACAGATTTTTTTTTAGATTTAAAAAAAAAATTAATTCTTCCCTCCTGAAAACTGTTCTTGTTGTGACAACTTACCTCGAAAACTTTGAGCGTTCGCGACAGTGCAGGTGTCTTAGAGGTTCTTAAGGTGAAGAAGATGTTGAGAAGCGCTTTTCCATCGTCCTCCTCAAACACGATCTGCTCGCTGGCCTCTGCAGCCTCTGCAGCTGCGGCGGCGGCTTCCCTCTCCTTGCGTGCGTCCTCGATCAAGCTTTGGCGTCTACCGAGATGCTGCTGCGGCGGCGGCTTCCCTCTCCTTGCGTGCGTCCTCGATCAAGCTTTGGCGTCTACCGAGAAATCTTGGAGACTGTTTCAAAAAGAGAAATTAAAGTCCTGCAAGTTCTGGCTGAACTCACGGACAGAGCACACACATATGCACACATGACGCCAGAGAGGCAGCTGCGGGGCTTTTCTCACTTTTTTGGGAATCTAATAAGAGCGCTTTCTCCTCCAAATGCGCATTGAAGCAGCAATGCAATCAAGGTAGAGCCCAAAATATAACTAAGCCTGAGTTATTCTGCAAAATTTATTTTAGAAGACGTTAAGTTTATTTTATTTTATTTTTTTTAAGTCTATGCGAGCTTTTGCGCATTTGGCACCGTCGCTGCGTAAAGAGCACCTCTCCAAGGTTTCTTTGCGCACCTCAACAGTTTTCCTCTGAACGTAGTCACTCTAAGCACAATTACAGATCGAAACGTGTAATCTGAAAACAAATTTGGCTTGTGCAATGCCTCTGCAGACGTTTCTTACCGTGATGGAGTCAGACCTCTCCAGCTCGGACGCTGCTCTGCGGATGCTCTTTGTGGAGGACGTGGAGCTGCTGGAAAGGGGCATCTTTACGCTCAGAAGTCTTCTGTATTGCCTTTGCGTGCGTGTGACCGTATTTGTGGGGCTCTGTAGACCTCGGCTGTGCTGTGTGCCCAGAGAATTTCCTATTTTTTTTCCTCCTCCCCACACAGGTTTCCTCTTTTTATGGGATCATTTGTTTGCTGTTTCTGACGTCAAACACGCGAATCCCAGCCTCATCAATCAATGCGCAGAATCTATCAGACTCATCCCAACTTGGAGACGTCTATTTACAGTATATATGACCTTTTGGAAAGCCTTTGAACACAGAGGGTTTGAGTTTGATTTTTTTTTTTTAATATAAAATTGATGAACCTCTCAGCAGGTGTTTAAAACTGTATGTGTACATTTTTTTCTACTAATTTATGTTTATTTGATTAACATTTACATAAGAAAGGTGAAGCTGTTGGATAAACTGTAGTTATCTTTAGACAATAATCAAAGCTTTGACCTCAGGGCTTTATATAAAGGTTACACCAGAGAAAAGTCAACTGTGGAAAATTAAGTCACTTTATCAGCTCAATCCAATCTCCACAGCTCCCCCCAAATTAGATTTGATTGTGGAAAAAAAAAGAAGAAGCAAAAAAAACAACACATGCACTCACAGGAGGGAAAGAGAACAACACATTGTTTTCCTGTTCTGTCTGTTTCTTACCTCAGCAACAACCACATCAAGTAAATTTGTGCCGCTTTTGGCTGGGACGTTGGTGCTTAACATGATTGTGAGTGATGTACGGTGCCCACGGGCAAGAGGAGCTAAAAGGATTATTCGTGGACCTCTGGCCACATGCTGCCACAGCAGCAACCTCGCGAGGGTGCAGAGGAGGCAGATGGGCCCCAGTGTGACTCTTACCTCAACCTGCAGACTGAAAATGCTAAAGAGCACTCACGTAGCCCTGGGCACAGAAAACAGCGGTTCCCTCCTTTATTGGAGAGTGAGTCTGAAGACAGGAAGATAAAACAAATAGACAGTAAGATGGAAAGTACCTTTTCACTTTGTTTAAGCCCATTTTCTGCATGGAAACAGAGAAAATTGGTTATCTTTAATAATTAAGTTCAGTATGTTTTCCTTTATCTTTATCTTGACCTTTCTTTGAAAGTAAAAAGACAGAACAACAGACAGAAGTTTGACATTTATGTATAATTACTAATTTTATGCTTCGTTCCACTCATGTCTTTTCAGTGTACTTTTGAAGGCAATCAGATGTAGATGATAGAGAAAATAGGTTACTTGCTTCCTTAAAATAGCGATTTGAAATACAGCAGAGACTAAAGAAAGCATCTACTTATCATAAAACTTAGTCCAGAAAAAAACAGAATGCAGACAACAAAAAAAAAAGAAGAAGCCCCAATCGTATTCTGACCCACTAGAGACTTGTACAAAACCCAGGTTTATTCGAATACAACTGGATTTTGTGCGTCTGGGGAAGAGCAGCAGGGCTACAGGCTGAATCAGGATCAAGATAAACTGATATCCCTCCTTCTCCTCCCTCCAAATGTCTGCTTTCCTGTGTCAGCCCAGTTTATCAAGACCTCAGACTATCGCTTGTTTGAAATCACAGAGAAAAAGAAAGCCGTCTCAATGTTCTGTACTATTTATTCCAATGAAACCTTGACTCAGGTGCACATTAGATTGTGATTCCAACCTTTCACATGACAAGGAAGCATCGTAGTCTAGTGCAGCAAGTGCATTTAAACATTAAAATATATATATATATATATATATTCAACCTCCCATTCAGACTTATTGTCATTTAAACAACAATTATCACACAAGCAATAAAACACAATCATGTGGCACAAACACACGCTGTCAGACATTTGAATCCCAGAAGCCTGACTGAATCTGATCCTTTGACTGTCACCAGGAAGCGACGCCACGCCTTCTCATGACTCATGCATGTGCTGCTGCTGCCACATTAACTTTTCAAGCAGTATTTGCATACGCACCGATTAAAACTCGACATTAGCTGATCGTAGATAGTAACATAAAAGAAAAAAAATAAAAGTCAGCCTCTTCTAATGTAGCACATAATATATAAACATAACACTGGTCCACACCCATGTTGGTGTCCAAGTTCTTTTGAGCTGATTTTGGACAATTGCAACGTGCTGGATCCAAATATCACATCGGTTTTGCTCAATGAGGTCAAAATTTGGATTTGTGGCCACATGCACTTTACTTGTATTTACCTTTACAAATGTTTTGGATCATTTAGCTGATGAAAAGGATTAGAAAATGAAATTTTTCCTCTAAAATCCGATTTCAGATGAGAAATACTAACCAAATCTAATGTCAGAAAACAATTGATTTAGTGGCAAAATCGATTTTTTAAAATCCAGTTGGCATAAAAACCTGACCTGATACAGAAAAGCATCATTTTTGGATTCAGCGTTGCAAAAATGTCCTAAATCAGTTAAAAAATTCTCGACACCTTCAAAAAATATATATATATTTTTGTAACCCAGTGTTATATATGTTTCATGGCACTTTTTAAACTAGAGTTTTTTTTCATGCAAAAATGTTGAAAAATGCAGAAAATGTTTTGCAGATCAAGGTGACGCATTTATTTTGTTCAAACTTCAGTCTGAAAGTGATATAAAGCAGCATCATCTGTCTGCATGAAATGTAAATCAAGGGATTTACTGGATTAGCAAACTAGTTGCAGTTTCTGTTGCTTGACTCAGATCAATCAGTTGATTGATTGATCCAATATAATTAGGGATTACATATGCTATATGACATGTGAACAATATTATTTAAGATCATCTAAATTAAATGCAAGTCATTAAACTGTTCTAAATGTGGTTCAGCATAATGTTTGAATTTAGGTCTTCGTTTTAGTCGTAGCAGCGTTAAGTTGAGGTGTTTTGGTATTTTGTAATGTCAGACTGAAGGGTAGGAGCGGCTATCTTCTTCTTTTCTTTACAGTAATGACATTGGTTCCATTTTCCATTTAAATCCAGCTAAATGTAGGTTGATCAAACCGGTATGTGCCAAATAATGAACTTCTTGTGTCCTTTTATTTTGGTATGGTTGGTATTAACACAACATTGGGCGGCTGTGGCTCAGGTGGTGGAGCGGGTTGTCCACTGATGGCAAGGTTGGCGATTCGATCCCCGGTTCCCCCCACATGCCGAAGTGTCCTTGGGCAAGACACTGAACCCCAAATGGCTCCCAATGGTAGATTAGCGCCTTGCATGGCAGCTCTGTCGCCATTGGTGTGTGAATGGGTGAATGAGAAACATTGTAAAGCGCTTTTGAGTGCTGCAAAGGTAGAAAAGCGCTATATAAGTGCAGACCGTTTACCAACATAATCATCACAAGTGGACTCAATGAGTGAACCAAAAGGGGAAAAAAAGAAAATCCCAATTATAGTTCTCTGGTTTAAAAGGTATTTAAAAGCCAATAGGGAGGATACATGGGAGCTGAGGGACATGGGAGCTCTAAACATTGTGAAAGTGGAATGACTTGATGAACTGATTGGAGGTTTATCAGACTGCAGCATACAGTGGATCAGCAGCAGAGGAAGTCCTCTCTGGCAGCGTTCAGCGCGGTTGACTCATCGTCACCACCTAGTTGAACCCCGTCATCGCTCATTTCAGGTACTGAGGCCACCTTTTGTTGGAAACGCTGCACTTGAAGAGGCGATACACCTCTGCCATTCATCCCTCTGTGTTTATCCAATTCCATCTTCTTTTCTGGAAGTGTCGGACGTGTCCACAAATGACACCGGGACGATAATTGTTACAATTATGCATTGATTCAGCTGCAGCATTGTGGCTTTGTGCGCGTCAGCTTTTCCCTGCATAATTGTGGGACTTCAGACGGGCTAATTGCAGCTAACAGGACCAGCTGGGCTATTATTCATCATCCCCCACATTTCTTTTCTCTCTCCCCCTGCTGAACAATGCCGGCCACCTTTGTGGGGGTCATTAGACTCATCCAGTTGATGAAGAGAGGAGAAAACACAAAATAAATGTCCTATTAATTGCAATAATGTTGGGTAAACAGCTTCAAAATGAGCCTATCAGCTTATTCCTGTACAACTAGTCCCAGTGCCAATCCTCATTAAATTTATCTGTTCCATACTGTACGCATCGAAACGCTGTACGGCTCTTCTGTCTGAGTTCAGCCAACAAGCAGCACGCAGTTCACTCAAGATGGAGGTTTCAATGGTTACTTCTAAATATTAATTGTAAAACTGAAGAAAGCTTCGGGAGAAGGGGATTTTGCATCTGTGATGTTTGAGCCATCTGTATGAAGTCTGAATAGGTGTGATTGTTGTGATTAAGATCAAATTCTGCTGCG